GACGCGACGTTCCGAAAGAGCTTATGCTCTCCGTCTTCCATGTTGAAGAGTAAGTAAAGCAACAAACTAGCAGAAACAAGCAGCCACCTGCAATATTTTCCTCAGGAATGTCAGGTTATGCCAGGAATCTTCTTGGGGGTAAAGAGCGGCCGGCATGTAAGGCTGACAACCTCAACGCCATCTGTGAGCCGATTGCGTAGAAAATGTGGAAGCCCCGACGTCTCAAATCTATGGCCCTCCACGGCCGGTTAACAGGGATAGCTTTTAGCTTATACACATTCGGCAGGACTCCTTGGACGGGGATCAGCCTGTCCCAAGGCCGCTACCTACACACAGGACAGCACAAACACAAAATAAACTCACATAGACATCCTTGTCTCTAGTGGGATTCCAACCCACGACCCCAGTGTTTGAGCGGGCGAAGACGGTAAAAGGTAAAAAAAAAAAGTTGTCCCTGTTCTTAACTAATTAAGCACTACACCATCAAAACGTATGGCGGAGTGCATGTACGGATCCATATTTTCTTGACCTCGGCATTAACTGGAGGTGAGTGGTCAGTTTCACGCCCCGGCAGCTTTACCTCCGGGGAAAAAGCCTACGGTTCCAATTTGGATAGGAGGCTGGGTGGACCCCAGAGCCGGCGGTCTAGAAGATGTGGAGAAGAGAAACTTTTTTACCCAACCGGGACTCGAACTCCAACCCCTCCATCGTCGAGCCCATAACCAGTCGCTATACCGACTACGCTATCCCGGGTCCTGGCCTTAAACGGAGCGGCCACGACGATAAAGTTTTTAGCGAGGACAATTTAAGTTTCGCCATAGTACCGGAACTCGCTGAAAGATGTCGGCAGTGATTAAATCAATAGTGCTACCTGTAGTCAATCTTCTGTATTACACAGTGTCTACGTACATGGTTCCCCCCCCCCCAAAGCGCTGACCTTTGAACGCTGGGACGGGAAGTCCTCTAGTATACCAACGTTTCGTCGGAATTTAATGTTTCCATCTTCAGGGTCGAACATAGGCCAACCATTGACGAACATTCCACTAGAGGTTCACAGTGCTTTCTGCTAGCTCATTGCTTGTATATCATCAACCCTGAAGATGATGGCAGTATATTGCTCCGAAACGTCAGTCAACATCTGCAGGACTACAGTGTCACATCCCATATCTGGCTTCTCTGCATTAGTGTAATGTGCAAATGAAGGGTCTCACAACAGAGACAACCAGTTTACATGCACACAACACATTGAAAATGGGATCCATAGGGGTAAAAGTTGTAAAAACAACTGAAAATTCTGAGAACAAATGCTTATGTACTTATTAGCAATTTTAGAAAGGCAAAAGACGCAATAATTACTTGATTTCAAGATAAATAGAAAAAATCACCAAAACTGAATTCATGTAGCCACCAAAATGTATTCGTGATGTCTGGTTTATATGGTATTAAAAATTGTGTCTTGGGAGATGCATAGTCTTTTGAGGAAAACGTTAAAATAAGATGTGAAATCACAAACTGTGTGAATCTAATTTATTTTCATATGCTGATTAAATACTATTAAAATTGTGACATGTTTTAGTCATAAATTACCATCTTTAGGGTGCATACCACACATTAAAGGAAACTTGACATTCTATATGTATAAGTAAACTATTTAAAACATCAAATTCATAAAATATCTACAAAAATCTAGAAGTAATATTAGTTATATTAAAGTTCATTGATGTAAACCATCATCAAATGCAATTCTATAGGTAACTGCTGTGTCATTGTATTTGTATTTAAGAGGTGGGCCTAACTGCTGGCCCTTGCAACATGACATTCAGTGATCTATCGTGCATATTGCTGTGTCCATACTGCACTGTGTATCACTGCCTTGTGCTCATTTTTCTTCTGTGTATTTATAGCATTTAATAAGCGTAAGAAAAGAAATTACTTATACTCAAAAGATGAACTTCACATCTCATTTTGACATATGAAAATGAACCAAAAGTTAAAAACCATATCCAAAAAGGAAATATGGTGCATTCTGAACAGAACTGTTTAGTCATTAAAGAATCGCAAGAAGAATCAAATAGAAAAACTACAGTGCAACATAACCTCCAAAACTCGACATTAACACGTCATCAAACAAATATAAAGGCAGAAATAGTTACCCATAGTATACCAAGCATAATTAATGGGAGACTATCAAGTAAGTCTGCAGCCCACAGACAAGGTTAGTTGTGGTCTGGATGATGCGTTTAGTGTGATTGGCATCACAAAACCGAACGCTGATATTGAAGGAATTACATCTTCATTACATCTTCTACTGATAACCTAACAAAAAATGACCTGATTACATTCTATGGTGGAACTAAAGATATTTGCAAGAACGAATCAATAAAAGGATTTCACTTTTTAAAAGCTTTTGCACAAAGGACTGTTTACACTAATGTTATTTTACTAGGAGCCCCTCATAGATATGACCTGCCATCTTTCTCATGTGTAAACACCGAAGTAAAACTTTTCAGTAAGAGGCTGTATAGCCTTAGGTTTATTTTGAACCATGTAAGGTTTTTTTAGATCTTTCACTGAAAGACTACATCAAACTAACCATGGACTACACTTAAACAAGAAAGGGAAAACTGGATAGTGAATAATTTAGTGAAGGAAATTATAGGATACCCTTAACTAGTGTTGCCATGGAAGAGTGTAAAGGAAAATATTCTCCAACTAGCTCAACCTAATAAAGGCTCTGTGAATGAAGCTTCATTTGTTATAGCAAATAATAGTAGGGAGTGCCAGAGGATTAATAGGAATATTGACTGTCAAAAAACTGAAGTTAGAGCTGAGTATGTATATGAAGTCCCACTGGTTACATAAGTGGAATTCCTGAGTTTTCGGAAGACTGTTGACTGCCAAGAACATGGGAACAGTATAACCAGTGTTGATTTTCCATCAGAGACTGATGTGGGTCATGCAGGGAAATCTTCAAAGGGAAATGTTGAGCCACAGGAAGTGAACCATGTGGGTGAGCCTTAGGCTTCAAAGGGAGATGTTGATCCACAGGAAGTGAACCATGTGGGTGAGCCTTAGGGTTCCCAGATACCCCATTTTCTCCGGATTCTTCCGTTTTTTCACCCAAATTTTGTTCCTCCATTTATTGTTTACCCGGAGTGGATAATTCTCCGTTTTTTTATTTAAGTCCATTGCGAATTATATTTCATGGGTTAAATATTATCATAAAATTTCTGTAATCCTTGGAAAATGACATTGTTATAGTTTCTTTCGTTATGTTGCATTTTGTGAATGTTGGCAATAGTTGAGGTTCTAAACCAAAGCAGAATATTTTGTGCATTCTATAAATATGTAATAGGGCTACATAATATTTTTGTTCTATAAATGTGTAGTAGCATTTTGTAAGTTATGTAGTATGTTGATTATGTATATTTTATAGCCTATTAGTTGCGAAAAATGGCATTATAAACAAACAACGAGACATCACTTTTTTATTTTACAAAATCTGGTAACCCTAGTGAGCCTACAAGAATAAATGACGACTCACAGGATGATGTAACAACATGCTAATCAACTAGATAAAAAAAACTTCAAATTTTAAGGAAACAAGATGTTTTATGGTAAATGAAAATCACAAACTTGTCAACCAGTGAGAGAAGTGTTGGTGGTATAAGTGCGAGCAGCAACTTAAGAAATTCTCCCAAACTAACATGTGCAAACAGTTGTAGAGAAAGAAACTTATTCACTAGTAGTGGTAACACCAAACTTCAAAATAAATCACTTCATCAATTAAAAGGATCAGTACCCTGAACTGTATATCACCAAAATATAAGAATATTCAGAGGGAAAGTAAAGGAACAGCTAAGTCAATTATATCCAACTTTCCCACATGTACTGTGTATCAAACATGCCCAACTTATTTTGACTTAATTTCAGTTTCTAATGCTGGTAAAGACCCATTATGACAACTTATGTTCAATCACATAAGTAAAGCATTTATTCATAGTGCTGGCTGTATCTTCTGATTATGGCTAATAGTAGCTGCATCAAGTGAAGGCAAGTTTCCATAGTCTCCTGTTGTTGCATGTCGCGGAGTATATTACTCGTTCAGATACTAAGAGGTGTAACAACGGCCCCACCATAGCTCAAGTGGTTAGTCGCTGGCTTCCTGCAGCGGAAACCCGGGCTTGGTCAAGTGGAATTTGTGGTGTACAAAGTGGCACTGGGGTGGGTATTCTCGAAGTACTTCAGTTTCCCCTGCCCATCTTAATTCCACCAAATTCTCCATTATCATAATCACCCAGGGCAGGCTACAATAGCCCAATCAGTGGCAAGTGGACCCAATTGGACTCCACCCCCCACTAAGCAAATTAAAAAAAAAAAGGCATAACAGCTCAAGATGTCTCAAATATATATTACCCTTTCCAGTTTAACTGAACCTCATGGCACTGGCAATACATAATCAAGAACTTTTACAATCAATGAGTAAAGCAACGTAGAATTTAGGTTATGAATTAAAATACTTTGAAGGTGCACAAGAATGTAAGATTTGAGGATCTCATGTTAGTAGTAAGGTTATGGCTTTCTGGGATGACAAAGTGCAGATTGGTAAATAGGTAATAATATGAATAGGATGCTGTAATCTACTCAGGTTCCTCCATAATTTTGGTACCTACTTACCATACTCTGTAATCTCTCATACAAGCAGACTGTAGCCATGAACTTCAACAACCTAGTAAAGCTTTCCCCTTGTCTAATTGTAATAAATCACTATATAGCATACCACAACAGCTACAGAGTTTGAACACTGGGATTGTAGATTTGTATCACATCAGTGCATGAATGGCTGTCTCTTCATCTCTGTAGGTAGCGATGTCCTGCAATGAACTGATCCTCCATTCAAATGCCTATAGAATTTTTTTTTCTTGTTTCAGACATAAAGTCTGAATTGGAACATGCCACACAAACTCAACTATATAGGTTATCTCACAAAACATTCAGAATAGGACACATGTCAATACACTTTTATTTTGCATACAATGACCTTACAGAATTTGCAAGCACTCTTAAACAGTCTGAACATTAATAAGGTAATTCAACTTACTATCCTATCAGTTTGCTTCATGGAAAAACACTTTAGCACTCTGTAAACCGTTAACAAACTTTGTTCAAAATGAATATTCCCATGTTACACGCATCTAACTTGTGAACTTATTTTGTGTTCCAAACTAGTCACACAACTTTACTGTTAGGTTAGTCTAGAATGACCTTTGCAATTCAGTAAAAATATTGTTTTCTTACACAATCTGTTTACTACTAGCTGAAGAACGGAAACTGAACAAAAGTTGTGTACATCCTCACTACCTGCACTGGTTCCAACTGCAGTTAATATTTCCATATACAGTGAGATCACAGATGACACCATTCCCCATTCATGTTCCAGGAAGCGTTACACACACCATCTCAACTTCATGGCTCCTGTGTTTATATTTGCAAGCATAAATCAGGATTACTGTATCTAGCTAAATACTGGTAACTTTTCAGAACCCTTGAAACATAATCAGCCACATTCCATGCAACTCAGGCAGGTGACTGCTTAACAATGGAGTAAAAATGAATATAGATCAAATTAGAACTTCAAAAATATAAGGAACATATTCTTTTTAATTTCTCAATCAATAAATAATTGTATGAACAAACAGCAATTATACAGTTCCAATAGTTAAATTTTATTAATACTATGAAAACTGGAATGGACAGAAGAAACCTGTTAGCTTTTTTTCCTCAGGAAACAGTTTACTCTTCAGGTTGAATAGCAAACTGTTTGAGAAAAAGCTACATTCCAGTTGAATACCGAGAATGTGAGGTTCCCTCTGTTCATTCCAATTTTAACAGTATTAACAAAATTGAAATGTTAGAACTATGTGACTGTCTGATATCTGTTGTTTCCACACCAATGTCATCAGCATTTTTATCAATCTAAACAATGAAATGAAATGATTATACATTTCAAAAATTTGAATTTCACTTGCCTGACAGAATATTATACACATGAAAATTTGTGCCAGCCTTGCTCTTAAGCTTCGCATTAAATCACTTTTAATCTACTTCTTCGATAGTTGGTCCTGCTCCAGCTGCTCCTCCAGCCCCTGGCGCAGGCCCCCCTGCACCCGGGAAACCCCCAGGCATCCCTCCTGGCATGCCACCAGTTCCCTGGTACAGTTTCGTCATGATGGGATTGCAAACTGCTTCCAGTTCCTTCTGCTGAGACTCAAACTCTTCTTTCTCGGCAAGTTGATTTGCATCCAGCCAACGGATAACCTCATTGCATTTGTCCATGATGGTGGTTTTGTCGGATTCGGATATCTTGTCCTTCAGCTTCTCATCCTCCATGGCACTCTTCATGTTGAAACAGTATGACTCTAGGGCGTTCTTGGCAGAAATGGTCTGCTTCTGCTTCTCGTCCTCAGCTCGGTATTTCTCTGCATCGTTCACCATGCGTTCTATCTCCTCTTTGCTCAGTCTGCCCTTATCATTGGTGATTGTGATCTTGTTTTCTTTCCCTGTTGACTTGTCCACAGCAGTCACGTTCAGAATACCATTGGCATCAATATCAAATGTGACCTCAATCTGTGGAACGCCACGTGGTGC